GCAAGCATGTTGTGTACGAAGGTAGTGGGGGTAAAAGATAAGAAGAGTGGGTCAAACTAACCCTTGCGGCACTAGACGCCTGAACAAGGGGGGGCTGCTACGGAGGGCCCCACCCCCAACCTTGACCCCTCTTCAGGGGCTGTTCTACTGGTCGGGAGCACCTAGGCACGCGCAGTAGGGCAGCCCCCAGGGGGGCATGGCGCAGGAGAGGGGCATTCCAGGCAGTCCTTCAGGACGCATACCAAGTCCTTCATTGCTTCTTTACATTCCTAAGTCGTGGCTCGGTAGTTTGTATCAACTACTATCACTAGTATCAACTACTATCAATTGCTTTTTTTTTTTCTAGATTTGTTTTTTGTTTTAGGTCAGTGTTTTTGTGGTAAAGGCACGGACCGGCAGACATATGCACAAAAACTTGAAAAAAGGTCAAAAAAGTGTGAGGATTCGGGTCCCCGGCAGGCCTAAGGGGCCCCTGTTGCATCTGTGCCCGCCCTAAGTGAACGTGGGCCTAACTAATCACGAGAGGCCCTCAGCTGTCAATTTCGTACTTGGGGTCCAGACAGTTGTGACGCGCCAGTTGGTTGAAGGGAAATACAGGCTGAGCAACAAAGACATTCTATGGCCTTCTGGGCCTTTCCAAGAATGCAGGCCCTGGGCGAGAATCGCAGCCTCATACACTGACAGTTGGGAGGCCCAACCGAAAGAGGCCCAGTAGCTGCGACACAAGCGCAGCATCCTGGGGCCTACCGGAAGCTTCTGGGCCCAGGCCCAGTCCAGGCAGGCTGCGAAAGCAGGCAGGCTCATTCCATATAGGAAAGAGCTTGCCACCGGCAGCCTCATTCAGGCACTCGCATGCTAGCGGCAGCGCTGCTGGAGCGGACGCTCGTGGGCTGCTGCTGGCGGTGAGAGGCGAGGGGCTAGCACGTGCAGTCGTGCAGGGAGCAGGACGCTGCTGAGGGCAGCGCCATAGCCCAGCCTTCATAGCTGGTTGGGCTTGGACTACAGTGAGGCGCAGGGGTGGTCTTCGGGTGTACAGGGGGAAGACGTGGGTGTAAGACGAGGGAGAGAGAGAAGGATGATGATGATGATGATGTGAGGGCACATACCTGGTATTGGCGATGGTCTGCTACGGGCGACACCTTCAAGTACTTTGTGGGCTGCTGACGTCAACAGTTGCATCGTCAATTAGTAGGCACTGTAGCTGTGTAGGGAGTAGGCTGGGCGCCGAGCGCCAAGTAGGAGATAGGGCCTGGACACTCATGTTGGTGGTGGCAAGAGCCAGCTCTCATTGACATTGGTTATCAGTGTTGCGATTCTTCATTGGTGTTATATTGGTGCATTTCTGCTTTCTGGATCCAGTGATACTATCTGGCCTTCAATGTTATTGTGTATGCTGGACATTGTCATCTCGCTATTGCTCATTTTCCTTGCAATTTGGTATCGGAGCTAGTTCGAACTGCGCTTCATTGGTTCTTCGCAATAGCTGTTCGGTGCTTCGCATGTGGTGTGGGGCAGTGATAAGGCTTGGGCGTTGAACGGTAGGCGGCCCAGGGTCGTGTGGGCACGCCAGGCAGCTATGTGGTGACATTAGGGTTGTACGCTGGATGATGAGAGCTCGCTGATGTGGCATTTAAGCTGAGGTGGAACTGCATTCTGCTGTTGGTTGTGCCGAGGCAAAGACCGGTCATCGTAAATGCACATCAGGTTGCCGGTGAGAAATCTGTGGTTGGGGGCAGCATTATGAGGTACGTTGCTCTCTTCCTTATCTACCCTCTTCATTACTTCTTACCGTGAGGAAGTGAGTTCTGTCTTGAGAGTCCTCTCAATGTGAGGTGTCGCGAGCGCTCAACCTTGAGAGTCAACATTTTTCCTGGGCAGCAAGCTGGTGGGAGACGGGCGAAGCCTCTGAAGGGCCCTGGACGAAGCACTCGGGTCAAGGTCACCATGCCAACCCGCTGGGACTAGTACACGCATGCTTTGCTGCAAGTCCTTGGTTCTGCTGCTGTGCAATAGAGGTCATGCAGGGTATGCCAGCCCTTTGAACAGACGCTTTCCAGACTGTCTTTAAATATTTCTGGCGGGGACTCGGTGTTGACTCTGGCTGTGATCGTCGTCTTGTTTGCGGCGTTAAATAATTCATGAGGACCTTGGGGGCTGTCCTTAAACTGCCTCTTGATCAGCCAGATCAAACCGGGTGTAAGGCTCGTTGCATGCGAGGATAAAAAAGGTGCAGGGGCTGGCAGGTTCGGCGTAGACTTGGGGCACAGGTGTGGGCCGGATTGCACACCTTCATACACGCTGCCCAACCAGATGCCTAGGAACGTCGACACAAAGTGACTACTCAAGAGGGATACAGGGAAAGGGTTGGATTCCGATAATTGTTTGCGGTGGCCTTAAATAGATAAACTGCCATCCAGCATACATCTGTGCAGGAGACATTATTTTTATTTTTGATTATCTAGTTGTTACAGACTTGACTGACAACTAACAGACAACTGCAGATAGATAGAAATCCTTGCTGCATGCAATCAGTTTCAGAGTAATCTAAAAATAGATTTAGTATTCCTTGTAGGACCTGACATTGATTGCTGGTTACCACTTGACTACTTCTTAGGCTTACCAAATTTTAATCGGTTGTGTGTCCTGCTGAGGTAGGATCCAGTGTGGGTTCTAGTTTATACTACACACACTGTAGCTCATGAGTAAAGTTGTCAATAGTGAGGAGGAGGAAGAACTCGTTCGAAGACCTTAGGGTCACTCGTAGAATCGCTCTCAGTCGTCCACTCACCTTCCAGGAGTTAGGTTCGGGAGACGAAAGGAGGCTGCGAAGGGAAGCCAGGGCAAGGGAGATATTGCGGAGAGCAAGAGCAAATGCAGCTAGTGCTGAGGCTAGGACCGAGGTCAGCACAGGCACAACTATGGCTGCTTCTTCCACAGTGTCGCAGGCCGTGATCCAGGCCTCTTCGTCAGGAACGAGTCATTGCAAGTCAGCCAGCAACCTCAACTCTCAGCAGAGGATTATGAGATCCTCCAGGCAGAAGAACTTCATAATGAGGTGCAGAAGCAACTGAGAGAGGCAGCGGAGAGAAGATAAAGAGCTATACTTAGAAAAGTCAGACTAGGGAGTAGGAGACAGGAGCTAAGCTAGTTAGAAGCATTAGATGAGTCCACACTTGATCCTGCTATGCAAGCACTACGCAACTCGCTGCTTTGCGTGGCTGAAACGCAAGTTGTCCAGCAGGAAGTGGTGGCTGAACTAGTGGCAGGCCAGAGACAAATTTTGGCTGCACCGCAGGCTCCTCATCCTATGATGAGACAGCCTCAGTATGTTGTTGCTCCCCTTTCGGTTGCGGGTCCCTCTGTGACGCCGTCACTAGTAGAGCCCTCTTTCTCACCCATGTATGGCATCCCTCTTTCAAGTAGTCAACCGGTAGTTAGTGGTCCAGTTCTTATCTCTTCTACCTTACCATCTAGGACGGTGGCAGCTACAGTGCCAATGTCTGGACAGCCACAAGCTAGCGTGCAGCAACTTGTGTCAGTGGCGCCTGGGCAGATCCAACCTATGCAGTGGATGCCCAAGATAACCTTGCCGAGTCCTAAGCCCTTCTCTGGCGACAGGAAGAAGGACGAGGATCTGGATACCTGAGTGAGGATTGTGCCTACTTATGTGAGGCACAAGCTTACAAGGCCAAAGCAGGAAGTCATAGTTGCTGCCTCCTTTTTAGAGGGATCGGCAGCGCGTTGGTTAAATGGCTTAGTGCAGCAACAGGGCTACGGTCAGAACTTCGATGCCTGGGCCCAGGCCCAGACATTGGAATACTTCGTACGGTCTGTGTATAATAGGTGGCATGACCCCTAAGGGGCTCTGAAGGCCACCGACGCGATCAACAATCTTTGTGCCAAAAGGTACAAGAATGTTCGCGAGATCACATATACCGTAGAATGTCTGCTCCTGGTACCTGATGTGTGATACAACCAACAGGTATGTCTGCCTTCAGAGGTTAGGACTAAGTTGGACCCGGTTTCCAGCAGGTGCTGCTCCCCACCAATAGATGGAGCCCTCCCCAGGTGCTAGCGGTGTCTGCTCTTACCAGCACCACTAGCACCGACAGGTGCGTTGTTAAAAAAAAAAAAAAAAAAAAAAAAAAAAAAAAAAGGACTGAGTTGGTGGATGAGGCCTACGTCGACCAACACAATTTCGCTTTTTTGAGCAAAAAGGCCTTGGATATAGAGGCAAAGCTTGGGTCCGTGCATTAGAGTCAGGGAGATGGTAGAAGGAAGAAACTTCCCCAAGACTGGAAGAAGAAGGGTCAGCTAATGTTCGTCGATCATGATGGTCAGACGACGAGAATTGACGACTTCTCAGACCTTGGGGATGAGACAGAGCATGATGGGGCCAATGAGACTTCTGATGGGGGAGTCGTGGCCCCTATCAAAGAAAAGGCTAGGGGGACCGGGAAGAAGAAGGTAGGCCGGTCTACGGGTCAGGGCGACCAAGGAACACCCGCATGGGTAAAACTTGGTTTAGACTACGAGGTGTGGAGGGACAAAGTTGTTAGGGGCACGTGTATGAACTGTGGTAACTATGGCCACACGTCCAGAACATGCCGAGGTAAGAAAATCGTAACGAAGGTAGCCTCTCCAACGGTGGTGGGACTATCCTCGAACCCTGGCAGTGCTTCTGCGAGCACTTCGCAGGGAAACACCTCGGGCTAGTAGGAGTGTTAGCCGCTCTTACTCGTGTTGAAGTGGTAACGTTGCCTTCCCCACTTCAATCGTTGGCCAAGGCTAGTGACCCGAACATCGCCCCGCAGACACATTCAGACCCACGGACACTCTGTTCGAGAGATGTGTCTGAGTCCTTAGAGGAGTTACAGTCTGAGTGGTCCGAGAGGGACCCAGAGACTCCTGGGCAATGATCAGTAAAGGTCCTAAGGGTGAACATTTCGTGGTAGAGGTCAATGTAGGTGGCTGCAAGGTGGGTGCCTTCGCAGACAGAGGCTCTACACGAAATTTCATTAGTCGTGCTTGTGTGGACAGACTGCGCTTAGGGGACCAAGTGTAGCGGCTTAGTAGAACTGTAGCTTCTACGCTAGCCAACAAGCACCAAATGTTAGTTGAAGACTATGTCAAGGACGTAGTCTGTTCCTTCTCTTATGGAGGAGGGGAAGTGAGACACATAATCTCATTCCTCATTAGCGATGAACTGCCCTTCGATATGTTACTAGGCATGTACTACCTCGAGGTCGCTCAGCCTCAGTCTGATTGGGATAGGAAGATGTTGATACACAAGCTGCCAAACGGTAGGACCGTTAGACTGCAAAAGTATAAAGCTAGCAGTCTAGTGGAAAACTACAGCTGCATGTGTGCCTCTTCTTTCTATAACTACTATAAGCAGAATCGCGAGGAGGGCATGTATCTAGTCTTTGTCTCTGAGAAAGGGGAGGCCGTTAAAACACCCCCAGAGATAGAATCAGTCGTCGCACAATATTCCGACCTTTTTGAGGAGCCCACAAGCGTGGTAGAAAGGGAGGTGGTCCATGCGATAGAGGTTGTCCCATGTAGCAAGGTGCCTAGAGGATGAATCTTTAGGATGTCTCCTGCGGAGTTGGATGAGCTCCGCCGCCAGCTCAAGGAGCTCACAGAAAAGGGATGGATTCAGCCTAGTACCTCCCCTTACGGTGCGCCAATCTTATTTGTCCCTAAGAAGGGGGGTACCTTAAGTATGTGCATTGACTATAGGGGCCTCAATGCCATCACAATAAAGAACACAGAGCCCCTACCCCGCATCGATGACCTATTATATAGAGTGCAGGGATGCCGACACTTTACTAAGATAGATCTAAAGTCTGAATACCATCAAATTGCTATTAGACCTGAGGACCAGCACAAAACCGCTTTCCAGACTAAGTACGGTCTGTACGAGTTTGTGGTGATGATCTTTAGCCTATGCAATGCCCCTGGGACATTCCAGCACGCGATGAATAGGATCTTTCATGAGTACTTGGACAAGTTTATCGTTGTGTACCTCGACGATATTCTTATCTTTAATAGGACTGTAGAGGAGCACGTTGAGCACTTGAAAATAGTGCTAGGTCTCCTAAGACAGCACCAGTACAAGATCAACTTGGAGAAATGCGAGTTCGGTCGCACCAAGATCTTGTACTTGGGTCATGAAATCTCCGCAGAAGGGTTGAGGCCGGATGATGCCAAAGTGGCCAGCATACGGGACTGGCCCAGGCCTCAGACTGTTACTAAGGTCATATCGTTTTTGGGGGTGAGGGGCTACTATCGTCCGTTTGTTAAGAACTATAGTACTATAGCTTCCCCATTAACAGATCTAACTCGACTCGACACCCCTTGGGAGTGAAGAGTGTGAAGCGGCCTTCAAGAAATTGAAGTATGCGCTGATGCACTACGAAGTCCTCAAACTTTCGGATCCTGAACAACCCTTTGTTGTGACCACAAACGCCAGCCAATATGGCATAGGCGCGGTCCTTGCGCAAAAGGAGGGGAAGAAGTTGAGATCAATCGAGTACATGAGTAAAAAGATGCCATCTCATAAACTAGCTAAGTCCACTTATGAGCATGAGCTCTATGCCGTATACAAAGTGCTAGTCCATTGAAGACACTATCTCCTTGGCAGATTTTTCTATGTAAGATCTGACCATGAGACCTTGCTCTGGATCAAGACACAACCTGTACTCTTTGACGCACTCAAGCGGTGGATTCAAGTGATAGACATGTATGACTATCAACTTGATCCAATCAAGGGAG